GGGGCCAAATCCTGCGTCCCAGCCCCCATCCCTCTTACTCCCAGATCCTGCAGCCCAAATACGCCGAAACAAGCCCACAGCCACACACAAAACTGCCTCCCCGGCCGAGCCCTTCACGGCAGGGACGAGCTCCCTCCCAGCACCGGCGGGGTGTAGGATAGCGAGCCCCGGCTGCATCCCTTATTTTGGCGTTCAGCGCTCACACCTATTCCCTGCATCATTAAGTACACACTGATTTTTTGGGGGTGTAGTTTTGCTCATGGTCTCCCCTCTTGCCCACTCCTCTCCCTAGAAGAAAAAAATCACTTTAAAACGCACGGTAGGGTGAGACGCTGTTGGCGATGTTTCCCATGCAATTAAAATTTCCCTAGCGAAGGCAGAGGGTCTTGCAAGAATTACCTCGCTAGGGTCTCCCTAAGCCTGAGCTCTGCTTTTGATAAAGTCATTGGTTTTATCATCGGCTGCAAAACATGAGCTGGCCCCCCCCCGATGGCCCAACCTCAGGGACCAGCAGCAGCGTGCACCCCGCTCTGAATAACGCATCCCCCCGGTGGGAGGATGGACGCGAGCCTGTGCGTCCCATGGAAACCCACAGCACAGCTCCCAACAAGCAGCCCGCAGACGCCCAAGGGGCTGGGAGCAGCCATCGGCCCCCCGGGCGGGTGGGGGTCGAGCCGCCATCCCGGGTGGGTGGAGGGATGCCCTGACCTCTGCCACCCCACGGACTCACGCCCGGAAGGGCTCAAGCACCTCCCAGTTTTCCTCTTCCTCCACAGCTCCCACGTTTCACTTCTTTGCTCCAAAAAGCTGTACCTCCTCCCTACCCTGATATGGGGAAAAAGCCTGCAGTTTATTTAAGCACAGTCTCTCCACCCAGCAGAGAGGCCTCTGGAGTCACAGAAATTTTTTTGTTCAGCTGATGCTCCTTTCCTGGGAAAGGTTTTTGGGGGGCAAAACCTGCCAGAAGCCACCTGTTCTTCAGCAGTCCCTACTCCAGGTGGTGCGGGATCCTCCCTGAGCAGCTTCTCGTTGCCACGTTTCAAGCTGGGGGCATGCAGGACCAGGTCTGCACCCACGCAATGGCCTGGGGGGAAAGGGCTTCTGCCCCCCCAGCCAAGCGTGATCCTCCGAAATAGCAATTTCTACCATACGCTTGGGTTTAGACCCCCTGGGAAAGGGTCTTGCTGCATCCCACTGGTGTTGGGGGTCCCTCTGTGGGGCGTGGGGGCGGCTGCCCTGCCCACCCTGCCTCTTGCTCCTGTTACGCTTCCCAGGCACAATCACGCTCCGGTTGCTTCTTCGACAATCAGAGATCGCCGACGTTTTTCTCCGGGAGAAAAATCAGCTAATTATGTGCCGAACAAAAAGCCTATTCTCAGCTGAAATAATACTCCCGTCTTGCAAAGGCACTTGTTTGTGGGCAAATTTTGAAGAGGGCTGACAATAAAAACAGCTGCAGGAGCTGGGTGTTGGTACACATTTCCATGCCCTGCCAGATTACCATGCCTAATTATCTCCCCTTCCCGCAATCTAACGCCGTTTCCTGAAAAGAGACGATTTCCCCCCACCCCCCGCTTTTCTATTTAAACGAAAGCTTTGCTTCTCCACAAGGATTTTCAGCCCGCTCTGGTTGGTTTTGGAAGGAACGGGGATGCTGATGATTTGGGAGGCCGGAGGGTTTAGCTCAACTCCAACTGCCGCAGTGGGAAGGAGCAGGAGGCAGGAGAGGGGCTGCAATCTGACGATGCTTGCTGGGTGATGGGGAGCAGGAAAGGGAAAAAAAAAATTGGAGAGAAAGAACCACACGTGTGGCTACGAAGCATCCATGGGGGAGATCAAAACCTTGCTGGCGCTGCGCTGGGAAAAATCCCGAGCGCCGCACTACCACACATATGGTGGCCTCCGCAAGACAGAGCTGGGACATATGGAAATGAGCTGTACAAGTAAACTTTTCCCAGTCCCTTGAAGTCAGAGATGGGCCCCAAAAGCGTGTGTGTGCACAGACGTCACCCACCCGCCCCCCCCTGCCAGGCCAAGGCAGCAGCTGCTTGAATGGCCGTCCACCCTGTCCCGTTCACCACATCCTGGGGCAAAGTTGCTTCTCCAGCAGAAATGCAGAACTGGGGATGGGGGAACGCCAAAACTCACACCTCAGGCACCCAGTGGGGTTCAGCACCCCGAAAGCTGCAGCAAAATGGGGATGGGGAGCCAGATGCAGGACAGGGTGGTGAAACTGTGCCAAGGCCCAAAAGCAGTAACCCCCCCATATCATTTCTTGCCAAGAAAAGAACGGTTTTAGGTGTTGGTTGGAAATGTGGAGAGAACAACTTACCCAGGTATCTGGGCGTGGGGCGCAGGGCAGGCCCCCATTTGGGGAAGCCACTGAGCTTCGGTGGTAGGAATTAGCAGTGAATGGTTTTTGGGGGGGCTGGTGAAAAAAATGCCACTTGCTGAGGACTGGGCAGGAGGTCGTGACCCCCCCATGGGACAAACCCCAACAGGCACATTTTGGGGGGTAAAATCCCCCACTGCTTTGAGGGGGGCTCCCTTGGGACGTGTAGCTGTGCCGATGCTCAAGGGACCACCCTCACCCCTTGCCTCGCCCCCACATGCCCTCTGGGGTTTTGGGGCCTGGAGGGTGGCCGTCCAAGAGGGACAGGATTTGGGGGACAGAGTGTGTCTGTCCCCATCCTTGGCACCTGCCAGCCCAGCTGCTGCGGGGTCACCTTCCTCCTGGTGTGCGCAGCCCCCCCGACCTGCCATCCACCACCCTCCCCCAGAAAATATGAGCATCAATTAGCTAGAAACGAGCAGCGGGTCATTAAGAGCTTCCCAAGCGGGCAGGCCAGGCAGGAGCAGGGTCTCCCACTCACCCTTGGGTTTGGGAGACACCCCCCCACCCCAAGCCTGAAGCCACTTTTAGCCGGGGTTTGTGCCCCAAAGCTCCCCAAAACTGCTCCCAGAGGCTCAGCCAGCACTATTGTCCCAGGAAGGCTTCAACTTCCCAAAGGCAGGAGGGATCCCAGCCCCAGCCAACCCCCCTCCTCCTTCTTTTTCCTCCTTTTTTTTTTTTTTGCATTTAATTTTATTTTCCAAACCACTTGATCTTTGCTTGGGAACCTCCATTAATTGCCTGGGTTTGCCTCTTTGCCTGGTCCCTTTATCATTATTTATGGCCTTTGAAATTGTGTAAAGTTCCCTTGACGTTCAATTTACAAGTTTGGGGGCTTTTTTTTTTTTTCTTTTTCCTTTTTCCTTTTTTTTTTCCCTTTTTTTTTTTTTGTTCCAGCTTTTGTCCTCGCCAAAGACGTCGTGTTGGAAAAGGCTTTGAGCCGGCCAACATGAGAGGCTCGCCGGAGAAAAGGGAGCAGCCCTCCATCGCTTTTAATTCCGCCGTGTTGCTGAATGGCTCTTTTACATAATTGCAGAAGCAATTTCAAAGCCAAGCCAGGGGCTGACTTTACCCAGAACCACATGGAGCCTATTTGGGGGCTTTTCAAAAAAAAAAAAAAAAGAGGGGGGGGGAGGAGGGAGAGAAAAGCGTGAATAAAACAGGTTTTTTTTTTTTAAAAATAGGGG